TGCAAGGATTGGCTGTGACCACTTATCATGAGCCTCTGCTCTCTGTGAAGGATCAGCTGCACAGGGGCAAGGTGGTGGGGGAGAGCCACCTTTTAAACATTTTCTAGCTCACCACAGGCAGGCACCCAATCACTGTTCATCTTTAAGCCCTTGACTTTCCTTTTCAGCATGTTTTATTGTCTGAGTTCCTCTTCTTGCTCTGCTCTAGTCCATCCTGCATCAGGATCATCTAGAGTACTTTCTATAACACACTTAGGTGGGCCCTACTCCTAGAGTTTGTGATCCAGTCAGTCTGAAACAAGACCCGAGAATTTGCATTTCTAATGTTGATCTGTGGGTCCAGGAACTGGCCTAATCTGTCTAACAAATTACATTCTGCAATGCAAAGCCCTCTGTAGGGCACAGAAGAAATCCCACCTTCTGTCTCAGACAATGCATACCTAGTTACTAGTTTGCACATACCCCATCTCATCATCTCATTTAATCTTCTTAAGGACCCTATGAGGTAACAATTACTATTTTAGGCCCCATTTCATAGATGAGGGAAAGTAAAGTTCATAGGGATAAAGTAATTTACCCAAAGTCAAATAACTCATGAGAGAAAAGACAGGTTAAACCCAAGTCCTCCAAGTCTGGGGCCATTGCATTCATGATGCAAGTTGTACAGTGTTCAAAGGTAAGTAGAGGTTGAAATCCAGCCTGTATTCTGCATTCTCAGATGTACACTCTTATAGCCATGTCAGCTTTTTTCTTATGTGCATTAAAGTGCTGTATAGTCTAGCAGCGATAGTAATCCAAATCCATACTCTCTCCTCCCTTCTCTGCAACTCCTGGAGCCACCTGGATAATGAAGAGAAAGGCAGAGAAGTTGAGAAAGACAGGAAGTACAGAGAGAGGGCCAAGAGAAGACATTACTTGGTGAATAATCAAGACCACACATGGGGACATGTGGAAGAGACTTGTAATACAGCTGTTCCTGCAAGAGGTTTTGGGGGGCAGGTATCAGTGGGGAGAAGCAAAGGAATTTGGCTGGAGACAGAACTGCATATGTCAGTGATGACAGCTTTGTCTCCTGCTTACCCCTGGCATGTGCATGGCATGATAGGTGCCCAGTGGGTGGGGCAATTAGCTTGTGCCCCAGGGCTCCTGGCTCTGTTTCTCACTTTCCCTCCCACTGCCTTTCAGCAATTAATTTGCATTGATAATAGCCGCCAAGTAGCTTTGTTGAATCTGATGAGTTTGTTCATTTCTTGGGGGCTAATGGAAGGATGGATGGGAGGTCCATTTACTGGTTGGAGCTTAGAGGCTAATTAGCCTCTTTGCTATGTTCTCAAAGGTAGGGGGTGGGTGAATTGCTCAGGCTGTCAGATCTAGTTCTCAGTAAATTATTTTATCCCTGGCTTCTGTGGGTACCTATTTTGTGGCTCAGGTAAGACCAGCTAGTTCAGGGCTGGGGCAGACAATTAGTGAGGACTGGGTTCCCTGGACACAGTGACGTGGAAAGTGGGCTAGTATGGGGCTGAGGTCTTGCTGGCCCTGTCAGTGTGAAATGCATATTTAGGATGATAAATGGAGCCCTAAGAAATTCAGTCCTACCCCAAATAACCAAATGCTGACATCCAGATCAATAGTTCTTCATGTCTTCTATCCAGATCTGGCCCTTCCCACCCTAGGAGACCATCAGGAGCCAATTCTGACCATTTAGAAGACAGGGAGTCTGAGCCTCTGTGAGAATAATCATTTCACCTTCATGGAATGTCAAAACTCAGGAGAACAAACCTCTGTGTCCAGGTTTCTTGTTGGATGGCTGAGGCCCCTTTTTGCTTTCTCTGCTTATCTAGGCCTGTTCACAAGGGGGGGCATGTCCATGCCCCTACCCATGAGAAAGCAACAGAGACAGGAAGACATTGGATTTAGGAGTCTGACAGCTCTAGGTGCAAACCTGGGCCATACCTACTAACTAGGTGAACTTAGACAAGCCATTAAACCTCTGTGAACTCAGTTTCCTCATAAATAAAATAAAGTATTCTACAGGGTGGGTGGGAGAATTCAGAGATGATTGAACTCAGACACATCTAGCATGAGAGGTGCCCAGTAACTACTGTTATTCTTTCTCCTTTCACTTGAAAATCTAGCAGCTCATCCTGTTGCTGGTGGAAGTGGGGTCATTGCAGTGTCATGAAAAAAGCATTTTGGGGGACTTAAAAGGGATGATGAAGTCTGGAAATAAGATTTATTTGTGGCTCCAGATGCAAAATCAAAGGAGTGCCTCTGGGGTGCCAATGTCCCATTTCCAACTGTTCCACCGTGAAAAAAGTCCAATCTTGCCTTCATCAAGCCCAACACAAAGTCCGAGGTCCAAAAGTTCTGTGTCTTCTGTGCCATGCTGAAGCTCAGTTCATGTCTCTGTCTGGATCCAGCTAGCTTAGTCTATTCTCAGGCCTGCATAGTCTGCTAGTGACACATGGCTGCTATGGTGAAAATGTGCAAACAAACGGAGAATGTGTGTTACCAGGCAGGAGAGGAAAGGGGGTTTTGTGTTTGTTAAGCTCAGGTTATATTATCTTGGAGTTGGGATGGACCAGGTACTCCCTCAAACTAATCAATTAGCTTCCTCAGTTTTCCTGGGCCTGGCTGGACCCTCCCCCCTAACCAATCTGTTCCCTAGATCTTCTGGGGTTGTGTCTCTTATCCAATCTGATCCTTTCCACAGGCAAGACTGGCAGGCCTCTATGGTTGCCATTGTGACTTCTATTGCACATGTGCTTAACTCCCCTCGTGGTCTCAGGGGATGGACCAGTTGCACCTTTGGAAAATTAGAAAGCTGGTTCTTTCTCCCTACACAGGGAGGGAAGGAGCACTGATCCTCTTGGCAGGACAATGCTACAGTTCCCTGGGGTGACTATGAAGGCTGCAACTTCCTAGAAAAGCAGACTTACGCTCCATAGTTTATTATGCTTAATAATATCTGATTTCTTTTGTTCTTTCCCTTTATTTATATCTAGCTGCCTACAGTAACAACCCCTCATCCTCCCCACTCCTTTTCCCTGCAGAAAGAGGAGAAGGGGGAAGCTTGGCAATAACATGAATTGACTGGTCCCTTTTAGGGACAGTAGGCAATTCAGAGAGCCAGAAGAAGGCTTGCCTGCATTTGTCCCTGCCCCACTGACAGTAACATGCTGCCTATATGAAATGATGGCTTCCTCCTGCTTCCAAGTACCAGTCCTTGAGCAAGGTGCTGGGTGCTAGCATAAATAGGCCAGCCCAGGCTGGCTTGTGGGAGATAGACATATAAACAAAAACATGCTATAGAACATTGACAGAGCCAAACAGGGTGGCCATGAAGGCTTCCTTGGGAAGAGTCACCTGGGATCAAGAGCATAGGAGTTAAAGCCTAAGCCTCCCACCTGATGGACAAGGTGACCTCAGAAAACTTAGGTGGGTTCTTTTAGTTTGGTGTCAGCTTCTTTATCTATAAAATGAGGCTTCCTGTGCACATATGCATAAGACACTATAAAGTAGAAGTGCCCATGACTGTGTACAGGACCAATCAGGCCTTGCAGAGGTGGAGAAAGCTACCCACCTTTCTCTAGGTAGCATGCTCACAAAGGCTTGAACGTATCACCTATGGACACCATCTGGCTCCTGCCTAAAACTGAGGGCCTATAGCAAAGTCCCCAGTGATGATCCAGGGTGGTCCTAGCCTGGTCCTCTCCTCTTCAAGCTCCAAACTCTGACATCAGGGAGATGATTCCCGCTCACTAACCACTGATCCCTTGGGGTAGAGGTGGGAGCCAAGGGTGAGACATGTCTTTATTGATGTTGTAGCTTCCACAAGAGGAACTCAGAGCCCAGCTCTGGAGACTAGAGCCACATGGCACCCATTGAACTTGTGAGAGTTTCCAAGAAAGCTGCTGTTAGTGCCTGGGAATGCCTGGCAAGGCAGATGTGTGCATTTCATTGGGTTTCCACCCAGCTACCAGCTATCTCTCCTGGCTGCCCAGATCAAACACTCAGCATCAGAAATGATTTGCCAGAGGCTCCAGCTAGTAGAAATACATTGGTAACACACACACACACACACACACACACATTTATAAGGAGGGTTCCACTGGGGGAGAAAATGTGGAAAATCCCAGTGCAATTGAGTTTAGGTCTTGGTGACTTTCTAGATTAGAGAACTAAGTTGTGGATTTTTTTTCCATAGGAGTTAAGACACTGGATAAAGGAAGCATGTTCAGAGAGGTTCAATAACTTTTCTTGAGGTCATACAGTCGAGATCCATGATTCTGGGTCTGGCCTAAATAACATAATATCAAAGCGACATGTCAATGCTTTCATGTACCCTAAGAAGACAGGGTAGGCATTGCCATCTCTATTATAGGCAGAAAAACTGAGACTCAGAAAGAGTTAAGTGACTGGCCTACATTCTCAATGCTAGCAAGTGAGTCAACAGAACTAGAACCTAGCTTGTCCTTCTTCTGGTTCATTCATTCATTGACCTATTCAGCAAACATTTATTAAATGCCTAAGTTATGCTGGTTCTCTCCAGTATACCATTCCAATTCTTATTTAGATAATCAGAATTATTAAAGGCAGGAAGAAGCAAAAGAGCTTTGAGGCTCATTCCTGCCTCAAGATACTGTGAATCCACATGTTCCATTCCCTATTGTGCCAGAGAACTTCCCTGAACTCCATACCATTCCTGATTCATTTTTCCATTTTCTCTTCTGCTTGTCCTAAGTCTTTACGCCATTCTTCCCTTGCTCTCACAGGTCTCCTCACCCTTCTCTGACCCCTCAATCCCATGTAACAGTACCTCTTCCCCAGGTTAGCCCCTTGGCTTCATAGCGTACATGCTTCTATGGCGTACATGCAGCACAGGGGACTGGCCTCTCAGCTCCTTCCAACCCTGAAGACCTGCAGGACTTCAGCAGCTCAGTTCCACAGCCTCCTCCTTCCCCAATTTCTTCCCAATCCTTTCTCCTTTGTCTCCTCAGATTGGCCAGTGGCATGTGGCAGATGGCCTCAGCATGGACCACCACATCTACACCTCTAACATGTCCAACAACCTCTTCAACACCACCCTGGTTGTCACCACTATTCTGGTAAGCAAGGTGCCCTTCAAGACTCCCAGCTGCAGCTCCCCAGGCTGCCTCTTCCAACTCTAGGTTACTCATGGGCTTCCCAGTGAACAGAGGATGGGAGCTCTAATCACAGCACCAAGACCAACTTATGGAAGTGTAATTAAAGTAAAGTTGCTATTTCATATGGAAATGACATTTGATTAATTACAAAGCAGCTGGGGTGGGGAGATGGCAGTTGTGAATGCCTCTTTCAGGCAGCTGGGGAAGCTGTACCTGACCAAGGGAGGAGGGCCTATGACACCAGTGGGAGAAATCCACCAGGATGGCCCCCTTCTCTCTCGTCACAGCCTACCTTGCTGGGTGCCTATCGTGTACAAAATGCCCCCTTGCAGAGCACCTGAGCTCCAGTGGATTTTCATGGCCTGTTTATTTATTTTCAGCTGGTGAAGAAAACATTCTCACTTTATAGGGCCAGGAACCATCTTCATTTTCTACTCAGTTTTCTTCAACAATTACCAGCCCCTTCTCCCCAGGTACCAGGCACTGTGCTCATTCCTGAAGACACAAAGATGAGTAAGACTCAGTCTCTAGCCTCAAAGAGATTATAATTTAGTAGATGGCATCAGTCAGGTTCATTCATGGCCAAGGTATACTTCTTCATCCCTGAAGTCCTCATGTCTTAAAAGATTTGACAATTAAATCAAATGCATGTATTATTCAATAATTAGTTTGTTCCTCTTCCCAACCCTACTTTTTTAAGTAATCAGAAGTGTATTTCCCTGCCTGGCACAGCATCTTATCAGCAGCAGATAACCACCGTTCCCATACTGTATAATTCCAGTCCAAAGCAGAGACTTGAGTTAGCCTGCTCAGCCTTATCATTGCTAAATGTGCAAGGTCTGCAAATGTGTTAGTTTCTTTTAGGCTTTTTGAGCTTATATAAAGAGCTCAGGAACCTGCATCACTAATTTTGTGAACTCTTGGGGCCCAGGCCCTGGACTAGAATTATTTATGTTCTGTAAGCAGAGTGGGATAGGAGCCAGGAAGGAGGTATACATCTAGTCCCTTGGAACTGATGGGGAGAGGGCTCCCATCCCATTGGAGATGTCAGCAAAGCCTTCAGAGAAGGGGTGTGGAAGATGGGCTTCAAAGGTAGGGAGAACTGACTCAAGGAGAGTATTGTCAGCAGTCAGAAGATGCTGAGAAGTACAGGTTTTCCTAGGAAATGAGCATTGGCAGAGAGAGGTGAGCTATATGGCCAGAATAATTTTGTGGCACTTGTTGGGGTGTTGCCATCCCAGAGATGGACACCTGCAGCCAAGCCCTGTCCTTGAGTCCACATCTGTGCTTTTCACTGAGTGCTTAATTTCTGGAAGAGTCAGTCTGGGCACCACTTACATTCTACCCGGGATCAGGCACACCAAGTAAGACAGGACGAGGGTTGTTTGGAGCCCTGGCTATAAGAACAGGAGTCCTTAGAAATGAAGTAGCATTAGAGGAGGAGATGGGATCCCAAGGATAGAAGGAGGGATGGGAAAGCAGAAGGGGCATGAGTCCCTTCTGATCTAGAGCTGAGGGCAGCATGAGTGAAAGGCAGGGAGACTTGCCTCATGTCATTGACATGACAGTGGACTTGATCATGAATCCTAACCTTTAACTTGGAGCTTCCTCCCTCTGATATATAACCTTCTACCTTCCCCTCTCCCACTGTAGCACACTCATAAAATTGCTCTCCCCTTGTCCCCCTCATAACCTCTAGGCTGTCTGGGTCTCTACATTTCCCAACCCAAGAATCCCTTTCAGCCAGAGCTCAGCAAACTAGCATTTCAGCACTTTCCTCTCTTAGCTTCTCAAATTGTTCACAGCCAATGCTCAGAACCTTATCTCATGCCTGTCCTCAAGTCCAATTGTCCTCACAATCCCTGCTTTCAATAGCTGATCTGTGTTCTGCCTGCTGACTTCCCTTGAGCCTCAGCAGTCCCTGTGCTCATCTCTTACTCACTCCTTATCATCCCCTAAGCAGTTTTATCAAACAGTTTCATACATCTAGACTTCAAGCCCACCTGCTTCTCACACAACTCTGAGGGCTGCCATGCTCTCATCTTTGGTCTCCTCACCTCTTCTTTGTATACACATCCATGCTCTCCACCTTATTTCAGGCTCATTTCCCGGCCTCACACTCACCTTGACCCTGTCTCCTTCCACCAGATCCTATAACCATGTTGCACCAACCAGCACATATCTTTCTTCTTCAGTCTCTCCTTTTTGAAGGATTCCTCCCTTTCTGCCTACAAATATACTCTGGTCCCTCCCATCCCAAGATACTATCACCACCACCTTATCCACATCCCATTGCCCTTTCAGCTACCTACCAATTTAGGGAATCATGAATCATGGGTTTGGTGGACCCTTGGGCATCCTCCAACTCTGTCCTTTGCTAATTGCAAACTGAAGCTCAGAGAGAGATGTGAATTGTAGCAGTTGGTGGAAAGATGGTCTTCCCACCTTCTTCTACCTCCTAACTTCTTAAAACACTGCTCCAAACTCACCCATGCACATCACATTCACTCCCCAATCCTTGCAGAGTTCAGCCACCCCCATTGACTCTCCCATGAAGGGTTGCCAGTGACAAAGGATCCAGACGTTCTGTCTGCCTTCTTGAAAGTTCTTCCTTCTTGACTTCCAGGACCTCATTTTCCTGATTTCCAACTTCTCTGGTTGCTCTGCTTTGTCTTCTTCTGTAGCTGATCTTCATTTTTCCTAAGATCAGGGCCTTCCCAAAGGCCTCTTTTTATCCTTCTAGTCCTTCCTCAGTTTTTTCCCTCAATGGCTTCAGTATTCTGGACCTTCAGTCATTACCTCCAAATAGAAGCCTCCAGCCTCTGCCCCCAATCCTTCCCTCACTCAGACAGCACTCAAATTCAACATGATCCAAATCTTTTTCCCTTACAAACCACCCATGGCAGTGAGACACCATCCTCAGTTCTCTCTCTGGCTCCAGGACTCTGAGGACCCCTACCCTCTGTGCCCCACACCCAAGCTGTTATCAAGCTGGACCCTTTCTGTGTCCTTCCAGCACTCTGTAATCCAACCTGAGTCAAACTCTGGCTCAGGACTCAATACCTCAACTCAGGGAAGTCTGTTCTCACTCCCAGATGTTCTGTCCCTTGCTACTTAATATTTTTTACTCACATCCTTAAGTCTTTAAAAGTGTTGATGCTTGTCTACTATATATGTGCAATGTACACTTACCTCATCCTGGCAGCCAAGGCCCATACCGACCCTAATTCATCTTTCCAAATTTACTCTCCTGTCCCCGCACCTCTATACCACCCATGCTCCACTAAATGGGAAGGCCCATTGTCCCCTGAATAGCCCAAGCTTGATCTAATTCAGATTATGCCCTCAGTCATCCCTTTCCCTTGCCTATGATGCCCTCCATCTGTATGATGTCCATCTGTCAGTGTTCTGTCATCTTCCAGAACACTGGGGAGCCCAGCTCCATTCCCATCTCCTCCATGGAAACTCCCCTGGACACTACACCAGAGAGGCCCTCCCCCCTTCCCAACACTCCTGGCTGGACAAGCTCTACCTTGCGTTGCAGTTGTTCATTACATGTTCTTACCTAGCATGCTATATTCTCAGCATCCTTGTACCTCATAATGCTCAGTGACAGTTCTGTGTGGAATAAACAAAAGAAAGGGATGGGGTGGCGGTGGTATCAGATGATAACCTTAAACAAGGTAGAGGGGCTTTGGCTTGATACTCTGTGCAATGGAACTCTTGTGCATTCCTGGTAAGAGAAGTGCCTAGAAGCTCGAGGAGGGGAGCTAATCACCACCTCCAAAGTAGCTCATTATCCAAACCACTTTCCTTATTTTACCCCATGGTCTCCCTAACCTCCTGCGCCCTGGGTCCCCCATCATGTGTGACTGAGACACCAGGGCTAAGAGGAAAATGACAGCTGTCCAGTTTTGCTGCAGGAAAACCCATATTTAATGCTGAAGGGGAACCACCAGGAGATGGAAGGCAATGACCGCTACGAGGGTTTTTGTGTGGACATGCTCAAAGAGCTGGCAGAGATCCTCCAGTTCAACTACAAGATCCGTCTGGTTGGAGATGGTGTGTACGGCGTTCCTGAGGCCAATGGCACCTGGACAGGAATGGTTGGGGAGCTGATCGCTAGGGTAAGGAAAGAGCAGGTGGTGTGGACTAAGGGGTGGGTTGGGGAGGGAGACGAAGGACATAAAGTTGTGCTGTATGCTTATGAACCCTCCATTTACTCAGTCCATTATTCATGCATTTTTCATTTATTTGTCTATTCATTGCTCAAGTCTTTACTGAGCTGGCACTGAGCCAGTCAGCAGTGAAAATTATTGGTAAATATTTGACATCGTGGTGTTTTCCCAGTCCAGTACCTGGACCAAGTAAGGGAGGCTTTGACCAATTCACATGAATTAGAGAGTTTAGGTTCCATTTTTGGGTAATCCAGGTGCTCTTTGTTTCTTCTGATCATTTTATTGTTCATTAGCATGACTGGCAGGGCTTGGACAGGCTCTGAGAAAGTGAAACACACTTTCAGTTGACTTTGACCTTTGAGAGGTACTGTCAGGGAACACAAGGTTAAAATAACAGGGGAAACGGATTAACTATCAGAGGAGTTGGTCAGAGTTACAGTTATTGTTACTTATATTATTTTCTGCTGCCATTCATGTGTTTCCACAGACCCTGGGCCAACGTGTACTTGCTCAGGCTATAGATTTCCACAATGAATATGGATTCAAATACAGGGGAGCTTCTCAGAATATCAGTCATCTGTTAGGTTAGAGCAAGGATATAGAAAGTTCTTCCACCAGGAAGTCTCTTTTTTTTCTGGGTACACACTATTAATATCTATAAAAATTGATTAGGTTATTGTTACTTCACAGCCCATATTTTCATAACTGAGTGTTCCTGGTCAAGATAGGTGATGGACACCTCACTGCAGAGAGTCCAGACCTGGTTCTGAGGGCGACCTTGAGCTGACACCTTGCTCTCTCTATGGGTTCTGAGAGCAGGAGGAGCCCTGCTGTGCTCCAGCAGCTAGCTTCCTGGCTACTGTCAACAGGCAGTGTGCTTTACAGACATGATCACTGATCCTGTTTCAACTTAACTACTTCTTATCCCCACTTTAAAAATGAGCCATCTGGAGCTTGAACAATTTACCCGAACCCACAAAGTTGTATGAGACTGGGCTGGGATTTGAATCCAGATCTGTCTCACTCCAGAGCCTACATTCGTTCTGTCACAGTACACACCTCAGCTGGACTTTGATGTCACTAAGAGAGGTGCACATAAATCCAGGCCAGTTTGTCCTTCCTTTCTCTTTCTCCTCCCTCCCTCACATCTCTTTCCCTTCTACCTCTGCTTTCTTTTTTCTTTTATTTTCTCTTTATTCCCTTCCCTTTAACCCTTTACCTGTACCAAAGTTGGACTATAAGATAAAATCCTAGTATTAGTTGGGGTATTGACTCAGCTGCCTGTGGCAGAGCCATGTGCAAGCTCTGCAGACCAGAGCACAGGCCCTCAGAGCTGAGGACGAGGGTGCTCAGGAGTGTGCCTGGTGGCACAGCATCTGCAGTGACCCAGCAGGCTGAACAGCAAGGCTTGTTCAAGGACTGGAAATTGTCCACATGCTAGAGTGTGGAGGGAGCTTGATCAGAAGTGGGGCCTTGCTCCAGGGAAAGGCTTGCCAGCCGAGAACTGACCCCAACACAGCCTTCTGCATCTCCCAGGTCAGGGTGTGGGTGAAGCCTCCTACAGAGAGTCACTTATTTGTGAGACTCAGGCCTAAGTGGCTGATGACACCAAGCTTCAGTGGAAAAGGATGTGCTGCTTTTCTGTACAGTTTCAGACCCTCCTTGAAACAGTCCTCTTGCAGTGTGCACGAGCAGCCCAGCAGGGTAAACAGAAAGTGGGAACACCAGGCCTTTTCCTTCCCTCTCACTAGTGTACTCAGTCACTCTGAGCCCTTTTCTCCAGCCCCTTTTACTGCCAGGTAACTGGTGGGTGACCTCAGGGATGTCAGAGTCAGCACACAGCCCCTTATTCCTGTGACATGAACTGGCAGAGAGAGGAGAGCAGCCTGAGACTTGAGGACATGCAGCTACACACAGAATGACTTAGGCAATCAGAGAAGAATCTTACCATTCACCCCAGATCAGCTTTCAAGCCAAAATGCTACAGCTTTGGTCTCATCAAAACTTGGCTACATGGTAAATTAAACCCATTCATTTAATAAATATTTATTGAATACCTTCCATGATTCCAAACATTGGAGACTCAATAGGGGATGAAATAAACAAGGACACTGCTCTGTGAACCTTCCCAGTGAGAGACAGACATGAGTAAACAATCACATCCATGTATAATTTTAGACTCTGAGCAGTGCAAGAAAGGTACAGGAGGGACAGTGAGGGCACATAGAGAGAGTGGGCTCCAATCACAAGAGGAAAGTGGGTGGGGGAAGCATGCTTTTCTTTGGGAATGATGTTTGAGTGGACTTCTGAAGGGCAGGAAGAGCACTCTAGCCAGAAGGCAGTCTGAACACCCCTGGGATTAACTGGGCAGGAGGGCAGGAGAGGGTGCTGCTGGGACCCATCCTTCCCCAGGTTTGAGGCTTTGATGTGTCTGCCAGGATGTCCCCTGGGATTATAGCCATCCTGAGTCTTGATTCCCTTTATGAGACTCCTTCCCAAGCCACGTATGAATGTCCCAGGGGCCGTGTTCACAGAGCATTGGCATTCCTGGGTGTCCCAGCTGGAAGAGACCTCAGAGTCTCTCCCAGCACCTGAATCTGCCTCTCACACAGATGAGGAGGCGTGGGCTCAGGGCCACTGAATGACTTGTCAGAGATCACACAGCAAGTAAGTTTAGGGCCAGCATTCAGCCCTGGTTTGTCTAATACAACGCTCATGATCTGAGAGTAGAGATATTGAGGTCAGATGGATCTCCACTAAAGTATCAGCTCACCCACCTACTACCTGTGTGTTCTAGAGAGATTTATTTCATTCTTCCCATCCCTTCCCCAGGGATTCAGTGTTCCTCTGGAAAGATGGTTTGTAAGGATTTAAAATATTACACACACATGCGTTCACATATAGCCTGACATACAAGGAGTGTGAGAGTTATCTTAGGCTGTGCTCCCTGAAGATGGAGCCCAGGAGAAAGGCTTTGCACTAATTCAGGAGTACGACTCGTCCACAGCAGTGAGGGAGGGATGGGGCAGGCAGGAGGGAGGGCACATGGGAGTGTGTCACCATGTCACTGTGCTGGCCATGGCTTTGCACCAAGCCCAGCTAATGGGCAGTCTGCAGAGAGGCCTGTGAAAGGACAGCCTCACCAAACAACCCAGGGTGGGAGGGAGTAAAATTCACCTGCCGAGTGTCATCTGTGATGACAGCTGAAATGGAGTTCATGCCATAGGACCCTCTAGCCACCTTCAAAGCAGTCAGATCCCCAGGCAGTGGCAACAGCACCATCAGTACTAGCCACTCAAGGTGTGCTGGCCCAGAGAGCACAGTGACCTGGCACTCACTTCCCTCCCACAGCAGCTGGAGTAGCCAGTGTGTACCCAGTTACCAAGAGGTCCTGCACGCCCTCACCTTTCAGCAGCCTAAGGAAACCTCAAGGCTGGAGGCTAGAGGAACATGGAGCCGTGAGTGATGTGTGGCATCGTGAAGGGTCAAGAAGAGCAGACACAGTGAGCTGGGCCAGCCAAGATGGTGGAGCATCATGAAGACATGGCCTCAGCCACCACAGCAGTGAGAGAACCTGTGAAGCCTTCCTTTCTCATAAGGCCCTCTCCCTCCCCAGATTAATAGAACCTGAGGTCCAGCGGTGAGCCTCAGATTCAGGAAAAAACCTCAGACCTTTGTCTGCCATCCTTACATCCCTGTGATGTTTTTTCCACTGAAGGAGTTGATATGGGAATCTGGGGAGAGGGGCAGCGGTCAAGTTCAGTTATGTTCAGAGCCACCTCAGCAGTTTCAGATTGGGTGCTTCTCCTAACCCCATGGGCATCTGCAAGCAGCCTGGGAAATGCGTCAGAAGGCTCACTTCTAGGGAATTACTTCCCACTGAGTGCCAGCCTACTGAGGCAGTAAGACGTCTTCAGAGGAAATTAAAATATATCAGTGAAGGCATCTGACAACTTTCTAAGAGACTGTCTTGCTTTAAACAGAACAGACAGGCACTAGGGAATTGATCTGGGGAGGGGTGGGATAGGAAGCTATGAAAAGTGGTATCTTAATATCTTTTAAGAACAGTCTGGTCCTGAGTACACACCCACATGGCAGAAGTGGTACAGTCCTGCAGGCTCAGCCGTGCACCAGGCTCTAGTCTGAGGTCAGGTGTGCTTTCAAGAGCTCCAAGTCAGCATGCAGGCACTTAACCTCTGTCTTGTTCCTCAAAGCATTTTCTTGTTCACTACCCAGTTTTGATAATTCAGCTCCTGATCATCCCTCAAGCTTGGGTTTCTAATGCAGCTAGCTTTTGCCTTTGCACTCCCATCATCCCCAGGAGTCAGGATCCTACTCCTTAACCTGAAGCCAGGGTGCTACTAACCCTGCTAATTATTTTCTGTCTTTGGCCCATGTTACCTGCTTAGAATTCACTGATTCAACATCGGTGTGCTTGTTGAGAAGATAAAAGTTTTTACTTTCTCCAAGCTCACATACATACAACTTCTAAGTACTATTATGCAAATTATATATTGGACCAGGGATGAATGGGGCCTGAAACTAGCCTTCACACTGCATGTGCTCTGGTGTGAGGCTCTATCCACATGGAGGGTTTCTTCTGCAAGGACACCTTTAATTTGCCAAGCCACGTGCCCACTAGGTCTGCTTGGAGAATCCATTCTTACAATTTATATAATGGCCCCAACTACACTTTGAATGAAGTCTAGTGTATAAAAATAATAAGATTATAGCATGTACTATATGCAAAATGGAATCATTGACACAAATTTATGGGAAAAAAGAGAAAGAAGTAGTTCATCTCCAGAGAGGCAGGCATGGCTTTGGAGCAAAGTTAATGATGTTCATAACTACTGTTTATTGAGTGCCTAATACTTGTCAGGTATTTATATGCATCATTTCTTCTCCAGCAACAATCCTTGAGATAAACATTGTTATTCACATTTTAT